GAAAAAATCAAAATTATTAGTACATCTACTAGTTATATTACTTCAAAAAATGATAAAAACTTTAAAAAATAAAATCCTTCGAGAGGTAGTTATATTACTACATCTACTAGTTAGGAAAATTTAAAAACTTAAATTTAGACATGTTTTGCAAAAAATGTAGGGAAAATGTAAAACGGCATTTTTGCATACGATGTCGGGAAAAAACGTATAATATATCAAAATGTTCAGAACGAAAATCCGCTTCCGATTTTGACCGCCTACGGCCTGTTTGCAAATTTTTATTTTTAGAATCCTCAAATTCTAAAAGAAAAAAAGTTATACTCAAATTTCAGTTTTTTTTAATTTTTGTTAAATCTGGTCAAACTATGGTCAAACTACTTATTCAAGAAGTATTAGTGTTACTAAATAATTATTCAAGAATATTAGTGTTACTAAATAATTATTTCAGTTTTTTTGAATTTTGGTCAACTATGGTGAAACTGTGGTCAAACAATGGTCAAACTACTTATTCAAGAAATATTAGTGTTACTAAATAATTATTTCAGTTTTTTGAATTTTGGTCAAATCTGGTCAAACTAGGGTCAAACTACTTATTCAAGAAATATTAGTGTTACTAAATAATTATTGATTTTTAGAACAATAGTTTCAAACTCAAACAGTGAAATGTGTGACTTCATGCTCAAGCTAAATTCCTGAGGGTTAATAGAATTGACAGCTTACTATTGTCAGGAAAACAACAAGTGCAGACTTGGAAACGAGGGAGAATAAAACCCGGAAGTTAAGCATGCTCAGGCTGGAGTAGTGAGAGGATGGGTGACCGTTCAGAAAGTTAGATGATTTGGAATAATGAGGGGTGATTAGAGATTAAAAGTTAAATTGAGCAGTGATGAGGGGTGATTAGAGATTAGAGGTTAGAATAATTCAGAAATTTAAAATTCAAAAAAAATTCAAAAAAAATTCAAAAAAAATTCATAAAATTTCCTTTAGTACCGGTTGGTGTTACCTACCGGCTTATAAACCGGGACTAAAGGCCCTTTTTCTACTAGTGGTATATGATAATACCTACGTTGTAATTTGTAAGATGAATAACCGAGTGAATAAATAATGCAATAAAATCGCTAGGCCACTACATGGCACATATGTGGTAAGCAATTCAAATTATTTGAAAATCGCTAAGCCAGAGTTTGGGAAAACAAATTAGATTACATATGATGTGGAGCGCTGGACCTTGTGGCGAGTAGGAACTGACTGTGACTTGGGGGTGCCGGGGGACAGCAGGTGCTCCTTGCCGTGTGTATGTGTGACTGCCTTGCCACCACTGCTGGCTACCACTATGGAAACGGACGCTTCAGGCTTGATTGAACGTGTAAAGGAGATGCGATGTAGTAGTCTGATTAGGGGACTGCAGTGGACCAATGATGGGCTTGGCACCGTAACAAGCCATAGGTAAACACATACGTGCAGAAATCCTGGGCGGGCCATGGCCCAGTTGGGCCCTAACTGAGCTCCGCCCCTGAATACATCGTCCCAGTATGCTGTTTATGCTAGGCTGTATGAACACTTCCGGGGCTAGGGGCGGATTCAGCATGGAGCATGGGTGTACGGATGTACGCCCAAAAATTTCAGTTTTTTTGTACATACAGGCATATATGACTGATACACTATTCTACAGGCCTAATACGCCTATTTCAGAAGCAGGTAGGCAGCAGTAGCCCATTGGCTTTGTTCCCTTGCACCTCCAGGCTTCAGACTATTTATGTCCACTAGGGCGCACGCACGCATAGAGGCTCACCCAGCCAAGCGATTCTTGTCCACTCACCAAACAATTTTCTCAAAAAAAAAAATCAAAGAAAAAAGCCAGCGATTCTTCCTTCTTCTCATAGAGCCACAGAGGCATGAACGAGGCGGCGACGCCGCTCTCACGACTAGTGGCGGAGACAGGGGGCTAGGCTGCTAATTTGATATGAACAATGGTAGAATTAGTCACTATTTGCTACTAAAAGTTCATTTTTCAATAGCTTGGCCCTCCCTAACCTGTTTTAGCAGCACTTGGCCCTCCTCATCATAATTACTGGCTCTGCCATTGCTCGCGACCCAATCCGATGGGCATGGCAAGCCACAACCGCTGCCACGCGGGGGAGCCACTGGCACATGAGCTCCACGCGGACGAGTCGCCCAGTTCCATGCCCGCCGCCACTATTAGGGAGGAGCGACGACCCAGTACGAGACCAAGTGTCGCAGCATAGAGGGTTGCGGCGGCGGCCGCCATAGTCGTAGATGCCGGGGATACCACTGTCCTCTGCATATCGTCCCACCTACAGCGTGAAACCTAAGGCAGCCTTGTCACAAACCAAACATCCCCATAGCTCTTTAACGCATGGGCACAGGTACATCATGGCTAGGGGACATATGCCCCCCCTACAAAAACTACAAAGCAGGAAAACTTTATGGAGTAGACCAAAAAAGATATAGCTGTTAGTGAACAATTTGTATTTGTATTGCAGTGATCAATTTTTTTTTGAATACCCAATGTTAAATTCCTGGATCCGCTACTGTACCGGGCTACTTTGTAACAGAAAAATTGGGATGAAAATCAACAGATGGATAGATACATCCATTTCTCCGACAAGTATGCACCTACGGGAGTGGGGTGTTTTGGATCCCGGTTAGTCCAGACTTCTTTAAAAAGATGAAAATAATATTACAAAGTTTTAAAATTTCTGAAAAAAAAATCCCCTCACATCTAGATGTCCTATACTTAATTACCTTCAAATGAACATATTCTTCATGAAACTTCACAAGCACTTGGTGAGCATTTGTTTTTACTTGTTGAGAAAATTTTAAATTTTAAAAAACGTAAAATGTGTTTTTGATTCATTTTTTTCTCGCACTCCCTCGAGTAACAAGCTACCAGTACCTCCAAGTATAAAACTATGTATGTACGACCAATGACGCACATTCTGAATGAGCAAAGTCACCGCGATCGATCAGATGCGCTTTTTACTCTATGACAACCGCATTCAATAGATAAATACATCATCCTGTCCTTTGTGCAGAAACAAAGAGATTGTTTATCAGCTTGGTGCTAAAATGATGGACGTTAACTAGCTTCCTAAGGAAGAGCAGCAGTAACAACCAACAGGTTAGAGGAGTAAAAATGCGATTTTACTCTACTAATCGGATCCCCAATCTGCCGTAAGGGAATATAAATTTTTACTCCGTCCCTGTATTTACTCCATCTAGAGGCGGCTGAGTATAATTTCTCTTCACGCAAAGACCTCGCGGCTGGCGACTCACCTGAAGCTCCCATGGCCTCGCCGGCAACCCCTGCCCGTACTACTACCGGTACGGCCACTAAATGTTGCTGCTGCTGCTGTGCCTCGCTACTGCGTTTTGCCGCTGCCCGCCGCCGCCGGTGTGTGCTGTTGCTGCTACTGCTGCTGCTTGCCACCGTTGGTGTGTGTTGCCGCTGCTGCTCGCCGCCGCCGGTGCGTGTTGCCGCTACTTGCCGCCGGTGTGTGCTGCTACTACGTACCGCTGCTCCACCGCTGGTGCGTGCTGCTGCTACTGCTCGCCGCTGCTCCTCCTCCTCCGAGTTGCGTGCCTTTGCTGCTGCTCGTCGCCGCCGGTGCATGCTGCTACTCCTCCTCCTCCAGTTGCCTGCCGCCGGCGTGGTCACCATGGCTGCCACTCGCCATGGAGGTGCATAACAAGTGTTCGACGAAATGTATGAGTCAAATTTAAGTTTACTCCATTATATATAGGGGATTGGCTGGCTAGGTCCGGCCAAAATTTAGTGGAGCAAATATACTCCACTAAGGTTTACTCCTCTATTTTCTAAGGGGTCGGTTAGACACGCCCTAACGAACAGCTAAACTCAAGACGTTCTAAAATGTTATCGTTGCAGCACAAGAAGGTGAAGACATTACTTGACCAAAGACCCCAAAGGCTGGAAATATAGAAGTTTCAGGCATTTCAGTTAAGCTCGAACTTTTTTTCGGAAGTGAAATTTGAAACAATGAATGCAACTTATCAATGTGTGAGCGCTAAACTCTAATTAACATAGTAATTAAGAATTGTATTGTGGCGACAGAGAAGGAGAAAAGGAAAATTGGTGAACAAACTAAGACAATTACACGTATCACGTATGTACTGTGCAGATATACGATCCTCAGTACATCACCCGGGCCAACCGATCCTCAATTTTCACAAGCTGGCTCAGAAGTCAGAACAAAGCACTGTCGCCTCAGCTGATGAGCTCTCGTATCGCCTGCATGGTGGCCGGGGAGAAGAAGAAGCTGCTCGGGGACAGCAGCGACGATGCGGCAGACGGGGAAGCAGAAGGTTCCGGATGATGATCACCACCGCACGGCGCAGGCTGCTGCTGGCCAAGCGTGAGAACCAAAGACGTCGGGGCCCTGCCGTCCCTAGCAGCTCCGGATCCGGACGACGCCTCTGGTGGCAGCGTCGTGGCCGCCGTCGACGGCCGCTGCTTGCAATTGCCCGTGAGCCTCTGCACGACGGCCATGAACTCGTGCGGGTCGGCGTCGACGACCCTCGGCGTGCGCTCGTACACGATCACGGGCCCGGCTGGTCCGGCGTGGCGCGGCTTCTTGGACGGCCGGGCCGGCAGGCTCAGCGGCTGCGGCCTGAGGCCCCGGAGGCCGCCTGCTCTCTTCGGCTTGGACGACGTTGACGACATGGCGTGCGTGTGTCTGTCGTAGGTTGTCTACTTGTCTTTGGAAGCAGATTTAAGTTGGGTCCTACTCCTACGCACGGCGGCATCAAAGCTTATATAGGGGCGTCGCCGTGGTGAGGGCATGATGATGATGGCAAGAGAAATGGTGAGCCGAACTTGGACTTGTTGCCCTCCGTGCATGGCTGCGATTCTGCGTGCACAAGAAAGGGTCAGAGATGGGAATAAACTAGTGTCGCTTCCTCCGTATGGAAGTTGTTGGTATGTGTATGTACTTACTTTAAATTATCGGTGAGTTTCGTGCGTGGTGAGTTGTTGGTATATGTACTATATATACTTATACAAAAATAGATAGTGTTGTGTTTTACTTTGTACGTTGTTAACATTGATCGCTACCTTTTGTATGAGAAGGTACGGCACGAAGGGAATCAAATAAATGTTTGTGTTGTGTAACTAGTTTTATGACCCATCCACCTAACCGCTTCATGTCCAGGGTGAAGAACCGCTTCATGTCCGTGATTGGTTGGGCTCAGCAGTGGCCAACTTACGCCATTATCTTGTTGAAGACGTTGTCTCCCTACCGATGTGCCGGCATTCAGTGGTTGGTCTCAATAGTAACTATGATGAAAATCCTTGTCTCAGTCGTTTTTAATCGGACGGTGACACAAGGACGTTTATTCCTTCTTAAAGGTGTTGCTCCGGAAGAGCCAACTGAATCGTATGTGATAATTCCATATCTTGTTACAATTCGATCTGTTGTACTTATCTATGTTATATACTCTGTTTTTTTTTTGTAAATGTATTACCCCGACCATATGTAGTGATTTACATCAGCTCTAATAAATATAGTTGTTTGCAATGATGCAGAGAAACCGAGGGTTTCAACCTCCTCTTAGAAGAAGAACAATTAACCAGCTTTTAACTGGAGAGAAGTTTGTTTACAACCCTTGTAAAGCGTCATCTGTTTTTGTTTTTGAAGTAAGCGTCATCTGTTTTGGAACTCAGTGGGTGTATGATCTGCATGTAGCAGCCAGCAGACGTACGTATGCATGACAAATGACATAGGAGTACATGCTAGTTAATTGCTGGTAGTATTGTAAGGATAAGACTGCGCAACGTCAATCATTCAACACATATACTACGAGGTAGTACTAGTAGTTTAGTTGGTTCATCTGTGGGTTCTGCTTCTTCCTGGACGGAGCGTGCTGCGCGCATGCATGCATGGCTTCACATTTGCGCCGCATTTAACACGCGATTTTGATGCTAGAGGCTTAATTAACTACTAGATCTAGTGATTATTAGTGTTGGATTAGTAAAACGTTTCAGGCTTACGTATCGGATGACACAAGGAAGGAAGAAGCCGTAGCCAACAGCTAGCTCAAGGAAATATTCCAGCTTAGCTCTAGGTCAAACACTCACAGACGCGCAGAGGAAGCCGGCAGGCAGGCAGCCAGGTGTGTTCTGATTACCTTCTATCCTTTACAACGAAAGGATGTTTTGTTGGTAGGCAGCTACATACGCCAAAACCTGATTTGCCTCAAGAATTTGCTGCCTGCCGGGAAAGGACAGTGTTACTAATTAAAAAAGACTCATGGAAAAGTTCTACAAATAGAGTCGAACTAGCCAATTTTTTTGTTATTCCGAATTGCAGGCTGTGCGAAGATTTCAGGAACTGTTTTCACAAACAGAAGAAGAATGATGGAGGGCCTGGCGGCGGGGCCGGGATGGCGGAGGAATAGGAGCAGCATGCTGCGTGTAGAATGGAGGAGAAGCGTGTCAGCGTGCTGCGCCAAGTCCACCTCAACCAAAACTACTAGTCGGAGCTAAGGCACCAGGATTGCCCTCCACGTCATCAGCCGTCTGAGTGGCAGTCAAAGGGAAGGTGAACCCATAGGCTCGCCGACGAAGCCTAGAGGGAAGAGTTTGCCCTTGTCGCCAAGGAAAAGGGGAGAGAGAAATCACGTACTGTTGGACCTCCCTAACAATAGATTTGTCATTATCATTACGATTAAAACTAGGAAAGTATAAATCTACCCCTGATAAGGAATTACCAACATGTCCTTGAGTCACAATCTAACCGACCAGTGCTAATCATTGGATCAACCTAATACTACAAATTATAGTCGGTAAAAAATCTCAAACTATTTATGTGCAAATAACAACGTATATTTTAAATAAACAAAGTTACCATGATCAGATGCATTTTTTAGAACATATGACAACCATATTTAATAGATAGACATTCCATTCTTTCCCTTGGTGCAGAAACAAAGAGATTGTTTATCAAGTTAAAAAAATGATAGTTTATCAACTTGGTGCTAAAACGATGGGTGTTAATTACTAACTACCTTCACAAAAAAAGAGCCAAAGGGTATTAATGAACGACAGACCTTTAAGGTGTTCTAAAATATTATCACAGTGTACAAGGGACGATGACAACGGCACGTCGGCAGCTCGTTCTACTGGCTGTTAGTGGTCGTTCGGTAGTCTTGAAGTCTTGATGTAATATTCATTATAGTTGAGGTGTTATCCTTTTCGAAAAAAATAAGTGTAGGACGTGAACACCACTCTTATATAGACACATTTAACTCCACGGTAACAATTATAGTACTATTTTCTTACCGAAAGACTCATAAACATGTAGAATTAACATCATCCAATCTCTTATTCCTAGGAGCATACGTGCAATAACAGTCACATATCCATGCATGGTGCGCCATTAGTATTTGGACCTAATGACTGATGCGCCATTAGTGTATAGTAGTGACGCACCATATGACTGGTGCGCCATTAGTGTCAATTTCATCTATAGCCCTTTTCCTAGTAGTGATGGCAGTACCAGCAACACTCAACATGTGCTCAGGGGTCTGCCTTGGGAGAGCGGGCTCCAGGAGGCGGAGTCGACAACGATGTAGGGCCTGAGGCGCGCCGACTCCACCACCGTGTGCAGTGACAACAACTTCTCTGCAGCCGACCTGCAGGAATTGATTTAAACACGATGTAAACACAAACACACTCTCGCACACACTCATCGATCCATCCATCTGCTGGATGTACCTAGGGAGAGACGGGCGGCTGGTGCGGGGGAGCGAGAGTCACTCTGTGCGTTTTTAAACCAAACTGGAAACCATCAAAAATAGACCGAACCTCACAAATATTACAGTTTTTATTATGGTTTCTGATTTAAGTATGGTATATGGACTTCTCATACTGTTTTGCATTTTGGTTTTTATGGTATATGCCAAAAACTGAATGGTTAACTGAATAAACCGAAATAAAAATATATATTTATATTTTTTGAGACAAACAATCATACAAGTTATCATTTTTCTTGTACATGAGCTAGATTCCACGCTAAACATGTCCATTTTTCTTGTAGGGTAGTCATTCTTGCTTTAAAACAAGCTAAACACGTCCATAACCATCAAGACATGCATCCATGCATGCATATATTGTTTGTGTAAAAAGGTATGCCTTTTGAGTCATAAATTTTGCAAACTATTATAATGTCATTTTTTATTTTGTGTCACCTTTGGTTATTATAATATATACAGAAACAATTTGATATATACAAAAGCGAAACGTATTTAAGTTGATGTCGTATTTACCGAAGTATTAGTATCGTATAAACTAAAAACCTGTATAAACCGAATGAACCGAATGCACATAGTTAAGTTGACGGCAGGGACGAGCCGAGGTTGCGGCGGAGGCGGCAGTTCGGGCCAAAGACCCCGAAGTCTAAATTATAGAAGTTTCAGACATTTCGGTTATGCTCAAAATATTTTCAAAAGTGAAATTTGAAACAATGAATCCAACTTATCAATGTGTGTGTGCAAAACTACATTCAAAAGATAGAACCATCATTCTTTCCTTTGGTGCAGAAACAAAGAGATTGTTTAAAGTTAAAAAAAGATTGTTTATCAACTTGGTGTTAATGAACAACGGACCTCAAGGTGTTCTAAAATATTGTCATTGCGTAGAAGGGGCGACGACAATGGCATGCCAGCAGCTCGTTCTGGTGGCTGTTAGTGGTCGTTCAGTAAGCTTGAAGTCTTGATGTAATTTTCATTATATTTGAGGTGTTATCCTTTTTCAAAAAGTAAATGCAGGAGGTGAACACCATTGTTATTTAGACAAATTTAACTCCACGGTAACAATGTATAGTACTATTTCCTTACTGAAAGACTCATAAATCCTGTAAAATCAACACCATCCAATCTCTTAGGCTGATCATAGTGGGGAGTAACTTAGACTAGTGTCATGCATATGACACTAGTCTAAGTTACTACCACTAGTGGAAAAAGGGCCTAATGTGAAGCACATTAGTTCCGGTTTGTAACTGAACCGATACTAATGTGACCATTAGTGCCGGTTCCAACGGCTAGGCGGACGACGCTCATTAGTACCGGTTCGTGCCACGAACCGGTACTAATGAGGCCAGTGCGGCTGTGGTCAGGCTAGGGCCACCACGAAGACCTTTAGAGGGTGTTTGTTTCCAGGGACTTATTGGTCTAGAGACTTATATAAGTCCCTATAAGTCCCATCTAAACCAAATAGGAGGGACTTATAGGGACTTAAAGTGGGCATTTGAGACTTATGAAATAAGACTCTCAAGGAGGGACTTATTGTTGTAATATGGTCTTATAGAGACTTATAAGTCCCAGGAACCAAACAGGTAGGGACTTTTTAAGGACTTGGGACTTATAAGTTGGGACTAAAAAAAGTCCTAAGACTTATGAACCAAACAGGGCCTTAGTACCGGTTCATGGCATGAACCGGTACTAGAGTTTCTTAGTAAACTGATTTTTAGTCCCACCTCGCCAAGGGAGAGGCAATATGAGCGGTTTATAAGCCGTGAGCGTAGAGACAATGACGAAGAGGCGCAATGCTCACCTGCACGTTGATTAGCTTCAAGCCTTTCAGAATAGCATAGATTGCACTGAGCTATGTGCAATGCAGTCTACACTATTCCGAAAGGCTTGAAGCAAATTAACCAGGATTGCACC